TAAGGGGGGGGGGGGATTGGTGAAAGGAAATGCAAAGCTGTAGAAGAATGCTATATATGTATTTTGCTGGAGGAAGAAATACCAGGTTTGTCAACTTCAATGTAGGGTCTGGAAGTCTGGAATTACAGCTGGTCTCCAGACTACAGAGATTAGTTCCCTGGGGAGGGGGAGGGGCTTCTCTGGAGGGTGGACTATGTTTTTATACCCTGCTGAGGTCCATCCCCTCCTCAAACCCTGCCCTCCCCAAGATCTACCCCAAATATCCAGGAATTTCCTGTCTCAGAGTTGGCAACCCTAAGCAATATCTTAAGTAAATAATCAAAATGGGAGGGGATATTTTGGGGGGAAGTGACTGCAAAATTCATCCTCCCTTCAATTTTAGCTTGAGAAATTTCATTGACCTGCACCTATCATTTGCACTCCTTAAAGACCTCTTTGGGTGTATCCACTGTGTACTTACTCAAGAGTTCCCCATCATTCCTAAAAGCATGGAGGCAGAAGCTCTCTCACACTTGACAGTATACATTTTAAAGATAAAATTTTGTATTTGTTTTTACCATGTATCACCTCCCTTCTCTCTCTCTCTCTCTAGGTTTCAACTATGTAGATATGATTTTATCCTGCTGGAAAATAATGAAACCAGCTTCAGGCCTGTTCCATGCCATGAGATGGATGTGTGAAACAGTCTCATGTAAATGTACCTTCTCTTGTACATGAAGTTAAAGATAACAATGAGAAATGACATGAAGATCAATAAGGTCCCTTCAGAAAGGTTGAATTCCAATTGCTGTTGCCACCTTTGAGGATCATAGAAAGACGTCCTACAAGAAATTCAATTATTTATGATGTGTGAAAGATGGGTTTTTATTAGCGTGACTAGAATCAAATGGAGTGATTTTTCATTTCTGAGTAGACTTACACTGGAAATTTGTACATAGGACTGCTAATGTGATATCCTGCAGAAATTATAATGACACTGTTGTGTGTAGAAGTAAAGTACATATTTTTCTTAATAACTTTCATATTTTGTACATGGAGCTCTTTCAAGGTGGTGCCTGAAATTGAAGAACCAAGCTGGTTCAGGCAATCCCTTTGGGCATGTGTTGAGATAGAGCAGTCCCTATAGGAGTGAAGGGCTGTTGTGCATATTAGAAGACAAAAGATCCACAGCAGTTGCTAAACTGATGCGGAATTAAATAAATCAGCGATTGTGTTATATCAGTGCTACAAACTGGACAAATAAGTGATATTCCATATACATAGAAGTTGTGTCCATCTTGTTCCATGAGCCCAACTGTGAGAAGTAAGTGTGAAGTACTTACTCAGTAATTCTACTGAATTAAGTGGAATTTATTCCCTAACTAATGAGATTAATATTAAAGCCTAAATTATTACCATTCTTATCTGATAATGTGAATTGCTCTAAATAAAGACTTATTTAAAGCCATGGAAAAGATAGTGATTATGGGACTTCCGGTTATGGCGATCTAATGGCGGACGCGTCTCTCGGGAGCTCTTGAGGACGCGATCCATGAGCCGGCAGATGAGAGGGGGTGCAATTGTACATGCACCCCCTTGCGAAGGGCTCCTAATCATGGGGTGCTGAGGATCGCCTCTCCCCCAGCATGGTGCCAGTGGACTGATGTGTTCCAATGCCACGACGGTCTCGCTGCTGTGTTCCAGAATTGGACTCAGAGACACACACCGGGACAAGTCCGACGGTCTCGCTGCTGTGTTCCAGAATTAGAGACACACACCGGGACAAGCGAGTGGAGGTCGAGCGCTTTACATGTTTGATGGCGAGATCTACACGATCTACATTGAGAGTGAGTTTGGTTGAAATGAGAACCAGAGAAATGGCTGAAAGTCCCCCCTAAAGTAAGTGAGATAGAAATTACTGGCCTGTAATTTCCCGGATCTCCTCTGGAACCCTTTTTAAAGATGGGAGTGACATTAGCTACCTTCCAGTCCTCAGGAATGGAGGCAGATTTTAAGGAAAGATTACATATTTTTGTCAGGAGATCCACAAGTTCACATTTGAGTTCTTTCAGAACTCTCGGATGTATGCCATCTGGGCCTGGTGATTTATCAGTTTTTAGTCTATCATGTTTCGGACCTCCTCCCTCGTCACCTCAATCTGGCTCAGGTCTTTCAACACCCCTCCCGAAATCAGTGGTTCTGGAGTGGGCAAGCACTTCTCATCTTCCACAGTGAAGACAGAGGCAAAAAATGCATTTAGCTTCTCAGCCATTTCCCTATCATCCTTCAGTACTCCTTTTACCCCTTGGTCGTCCAAGGGCCCCACTGCCTCCCTGGCTGGTTTCCTGCTTCTAATGTATTTGAAGAAAGTTTTATTGTTGGTCTTTACATTTTTTGCTATATGCTCCTCATATTCCCTTTTTGCCTGCCTGACCACAGACTTGCATTTTATTTGCCATAGCCTGTGTTCCGTTTTATCAGCCTCACTGTAACTAGCTTTCCACTGCTTAAAGGAATCCTTTCCCCCTTTTACAGCTTCCATTACTTTGTTTGTTAACCATGCAGGCTTTTTCCTATACCTGTTTGTGCCTTTCCTAACCTGCGGAATATATATTTTTTTGAGCTTCTAGGA